ATCTTAGTCGAAACGGAGTTGTAAACCATTGGTTCGACCGTATCTTAGTCGAACATCTGTAATTTTTTTTATATGCAGGTTCCTTCCTTGCCTCCTGTGGTGGACTGCTCGTTGTTCCCGAGCATGAAGCTCACAGTAAGGCAAAAATTGGATGAATTTATAGAATTAATTTTCGACAATCTTGGTGAGTTTCCCAATCTCATGGGTGCATTTAGGTCGAGTGTATTTGGGAAATACATTGATGTTGAGTTCATCCCTGTTCCATTACATTTGTGGTCAATCGTGTCTAGATTAGCCAAAATTGATATTGAATCGGAGGCATGGTTTGTCGTGAAGGGAGTTCCAGTACGCTACTCTCTCACAGAATTTGCTCTAATCAGCGGGCTTACCTGCAGCGCCCTTGCTAGCAATTATGAAGATGATTTTGATAATGATTCAAAGGCCAGATTCATTGAGAAGAATTTTGATCAAGATTTTGAGGGAGTTGTTAGCTATGAAACAGTTGTAGCTAGATTTGTACAATTGTGCACAACTTTGAAGGACCCTGAAGCTGAGGACGAACTGAAAAAGGATGCTGAAGTAGAAGTGATCAGAGTAGCAATACTCATGTTTGTAGTGATGGTCCTTCTAGCTCCTTCTAAGAGAAAAGCTCCCATTCCTGAATGGATAATTGGGAAAATAGGGGGAAAAGAAGAAAACGAGTTCCCATGGGGTACGTGGGCGTATAAGGGCTCATTAGATGCATTGAAACATATGGACTTGGAGAAAAAGCTAGATGAAATAATTGCTAAAAATAAGTCAGCAACAATGAATTTCCCTGGATTCTTAATCCCAATTTCGGTAAGGACCTTTGTTAATATCATTTGCAGATTCTATTTTGCATACTGTAATAACAATTTGTCTAGCATTTCTTGACTTTTTCAAATTTTGTTTTAATAGATATTGCTTTTTGAATGCGCCCCTGATTTTGCCGAGAAGTTTGCAATGAGACTCCCTAATTGTGTGCCTACTTTGCCGAGGTTACGTCTCTATCGTCCAAATACGACAAAAAGGATCAGCACTGAACAGGTTCAAGTGGCTGAAGAATCAATAAAGGTAAGAACATTTTCACACTTATAACCTTTGTTCGACCAGATTGTGGTCGAAAAAATAAACGTGATCGACTACTACACGGTCGATAATACGTTGTTTTGTTTATACAACTAAAAGTGAAGAACTAAATGTTTGTTACAGAGGGTGCAGAGTATTCTACTACCTGATGATTTGGAGAAAACTACTGATTGGGTCAGAAGTTTGGATCCTGTACAAGACAGTCACCCACATGTTGAGCTGGATGGATTTGTGAAATCATTAGAGAGAAAATTGGTTCTTTTTCCAGTCTCTTTGAAAAGAAAATCATGTGAGGTAAAGAGTCCTAAAGAGGAGAAGAAGCCTCCTAAAAAGATGAAGTTGCTGAGCATGAAGAAAGAAGAAGGTGTAGTGGAGGAAAAAAGAAAGAAGAAAAAGAGACACTCTCCTCCTCAAACCCCTATTGCCTCTCCTCAACCTACTGCCCATGTAGAGGAACAAAGAAAGAAAAAGAAACACTCCCCCAAAACCCCTGCTGCTTCTCCTAAGCCTCCTTCCAATGAAGATTCAATAAAAATGTATATTGAACAAAAGTTTAAAGAACTGGAGGATCTTTCAGAAAAAAGGCTCAATTCTTTCAAAGAGCATTATGACAAAAAGTTTCTGGAGTTGGAGAAACGGTCAGAAGAGAGGCACAAGAAACTTGAAGAGTTACTTGTTAAGGTTTGTCTTAATTCTATAGCAAGATAAACCTTTAAAACTTGAGCTTCAATAATTAGTTATAATTTTTTCCTTATATAGTCCACTGCTAGAGGAGAGGAGAAAAGTGTTGAGGGGGCTGAGCATAAAAAGGAGGTAATTGCGTATGCATTAAAGCTGTTAATGGACTTGTAATATTTTTAAAGCTGGTAGAATTGTTTTGTTTTGTGAACGGTCATGAATACTTACTTTACTTATTTTCCATCTAGAAAAATGAAGAGAACGACGATTCTGAAAAGAAAATGGAGCAAGAAGATGAAAAGGGTTTAGACAAAGAGGCTCAGGCTGAAAAGTTCGACCAAGAGAAGAAGGTACATCGTTTAATTCCAAACATTTGTGTATAAAATATTCCGCCGACTAATATTTGGTCGACCTGTAAATATGTAATAAAAAAGTGGTCGACTTTGCTGTATATTTAACATGTTCTTGATTCTAGAATTTACGTTAATATTGGTAATTCGTATAGATGTTAACAAAGATGTAAGATCATGAATACTTACTTTACTACTTTTCATCTAGGAAAAAGAAGAAGAAGAAGCTCAAGGAAATGAAAAGATGAATGAACAGTATCAGGTTGAAGAGATAGAACAAGAAAAAAAGGTATATTTTAATCAAAAGTATTTGCTTAAACCAAACTGTTTGTTTATAAGAAGATTCGATCCACTAATATTGGATCGACTTTGAAACTATGTAAAAAATAAGTGGTCGACTTGATGTATATTTTATTCATAATTTACTATTTTTCTTCTAGGAAAATGAAGAAGAAAAAGAGTCGGAAGATGCCCAAGACTCTATGGCTAAGGTTTAGTAGTTTAATAAAAAATATTTGTGTTTACAAAGTTTTTTTCAACTGTTTTTTCAATTGCATGGGTGATGGCTTTGAATAAGAAGATTCGATCGACTAATATTGGATCGACTTTGAATCTATGTAAAAAATAAGTGGTCGACTTGATGTGCATTATAATAATACATTACTATTTTTCTTCTAGGAAAATGAAGAAGAAAAAGAGTCGCAAGGAAATGAAAAGATGAATGAACAGTATCAGGTTGAAGAGATAGAACAAGAAAAAAAGGTATATTTTAATCAAAAGTATTTGCTTAAACCAAACTGTTTGTTTATAAGAAGATTCGATCCACTAATATTGGATCGACTTTGAATCTATGTAAAAAATAAGTGTTCGACTTGATGTATATTTTATTCATAATTTACTATTTTTCTTCTAGGAAAATGAAGAAGAAAAAGAGTCGGAAGATGCCCAAGACTCTATGGCTAAGGTTTAGTAGTTTAATAAAAAATATTTGTGTTTACAAAGTTTTTTTCAACTGGTTTTTCAATTGCATGGGTGATGGCTTTGAATAAGAAGATTCGATCGATTAATATTGGATCGACTTTGAATCTATGTAAAAAATAAGTGGTCGACTTGATGTGCATTTTAATAATACATTACTATTTTTCTTCTAGGAAAATGAAGAAGAAAAAGAGTCGGAAGATGCTCAAGACTCTATGGCTAAGGTTCAGTAGTTTAATAAAAAAATATTTGAGTTTACAAAGCGTTTTTCAACTGTTTTTTCAATTGCAAGGGTGATGGCTTTGAATGTGTATATACCAATTGTTTTCCGCAGGGTCATGAAGTCGAAAATGTATGTACATTGCAGACAAGTGAAGAGATTGGAGAGGTAACTAAATAGATAATAAACAATCGACCAAAAGAGGGCCGACCGAAAAAATCTACTACCTTTGTCTTCTTTAAAGATTAAGCATTAATACATATTATACATATAATGACAAGGTTGATCAGACGGTTGAACCAGGACTGAACATTGTTGATGACTCTATTGGCTTAGGGGAATCAGAGGTAACCTATAAGTAATCGACCAAATTATGATCGACTACTTACGTTAGTAATCGACCAAATTATGATCATGAATACTTACGTTACTATTTTTCATATAGGAAAATGATAAATTGATTACAGAGGTTCATCAGTATCAGTGTGAGGAAATAGAAAAAGAAAAAGAGGTATATTTTAATAAAAAAATATTTGCTTAAACGAAACTGTTTGTGTATAAGAAAATTCGATCGACTAATATTGGATCGACTTTGAATCTATGTAAAAAATAAGTGGTCGACGTGATGTATTATATAAACATCGACTTAGATAATAAACATCTACTACAGAGGTTCGATCGACTAATATTTGATAGACTTTGAATCTATGTAAAAAATAAGTGGTCGACTTGATGTATATTTTATTTATACTTTACTATTTTTATTCTAGGAAAATGAAGAAGAAAATGAGTTGGAAGATGCTCAAGACTCTATTACTAAGGTTCAGTAGTTTAATAAAAAATATTTTTGTATACAAACCTTTTTCAACTGTTTTTTTCCCATTGCAAGGGTGATGGCCTAGAATGTATATATTCCAATTTCTTTCCGCAGGGTGATGTGGAAGAAGTTGTTTGTTCATTGCAGACAATAAACTTATGTACATTGCAAACAACAGAAGAAAGTGGAGAGGTAACTACATACTTAAATAATAAACATCTACTACCGACCTATGTCTTCTTTATAGATTAAGCATTAATATATATTATACTGATAATGGCAAGGGTGATCAGACGGTTGACCCAGGATTGCATATTGCTGATGTCTCTAATGAGACGGTTCATGATCAGTTAGCTGAGGAGAGTGAAAAGGTAACTTATAAATGATCGACCAAAAGAAGGTCGAATACAGAAGATCGACTACTTATTTCTTACCAAAAGGTTAAGCATTAACATATATATTATAATTATAATTGAAGGGTGATGAGAAGGTTGATCCAGGATTGAATGTTGGTGATACTGCTGAACTTGATAATAAAACGAAAGAGGTAAACCACAAAACTTTTTAATATTATAATATCGACTACATTTATTTTTTAAAATATTAAACTTTGACATATATATTACACTTAATAATTGATAGGGTGATGATAAGGTTGAGCAACCATTTCGTATTATTGATTATGTTTGCGATGCTTTTGCCAAGGGTTTGGTTCGCAAAGAAGATGTTAGTGATGCTGATGATGTTAGAATTGTTGAACTTAATGATGAAGAGAAACAGGTAAAATTCAAAATTGTTTTCTCAAGTAGTTGAATTGTTTTATGATATATTCTTTATGATTGTTTGTAGGCATTGTTGGGAAGGGGGCGAAGAACAAAAGGAAGGGGAAAATTTACCAAATCTCCTTATGTGCCCTACAAGGGGAAGAAAAGGAGTCATCCCAGTGAGACGATACTGAAGAAATTTCATACTTTTATAAAAAAAGCCAAGAATGATGGCAGGGATGTTCAGTGCTTCGAGGACAAGTATTCTGAAAGTTCTGGAATGGAAAAGAAATTCTGGTCCATGATGTTGGACGTAGGTGGTTGGCTTGAGTCTCAGGTAAGTAGGTAACCACATTATTTATATTGATGAGTATTTCTTTTTATACAAAACGTTTACTTCATCACATGTAAATCTTTCAGCACTTTGACGAGTATCTTTCCTACCTGAGGAAACGTGTTCTTGATGAAAGTCTCTCAGATGTTGTTGTCACGACGGAATTCTTTTCTTCCTTTATTGATACCAATATGGATCCAAAGCAAGAGCTCTTTCCTGGATTGCTGGATGATTTGAATAAAATGATGGAGGGGACTTCGAGCACTTCTTATATCAAATCTTGGACAGGCGTGAAGCGTCTCTATTTTCCACACAACATTGCTGAAACTCATTGGATGGCAGTGCGAGCAGATTTCGAAAACAATGAGCTTGTTGTGTTTGACTCTATGCGATGCTTCAGAAGTGATGATGAAATAGTACGCAGTTTAGAGCCGCACAGAAAATGGTTTGGAAATGTTGCTTGCATCCTTAATGGTATTGTCTATGACCCAGAAATAATGCCTCTTTGGAATGTAAAGCGGCCTACCGTACCCCAACAAACCACGAGTGACTGCGGTGTGTTTACAATGAAGTTCATAGAGTTGGACATGGTTGGTAAAGATTTTAAAGAACTTGAAAATATGACTGAAAGCCGCATGAAGCAAGTTAGACTACTCATGGCTTATTCTATATGTAAAGAGTTTCAAGAAACATTAAATGTATGAACTATTTCACTGATATTAAAGGAAGCTTTAATATGTATATACAATGTAAGTTTTTGTTTTCTTTATAATCATTGTTTACCAATTTTACATATAATTTCAAGGTTGATGAGAAGGTTCATGATCAGTTGGTAGGAGAGAGTGGAGAGGTAACTCGGTTTGATGAGTACGAAAGATCGACCTTATGCTCGACCAAGTTTTTTGAAATGGTTATAGATGTTTGTAGGTAATGGGAAGAGCAAAAAGAAAGAAAACAAAGCCAAGGCAGTTTAAGGTAAAAGTTGACGATGCATCTTTGAAGCTTGAAGAACCTGATGCGAAGGTTTTGGAGAGATTTTCTAGCTGGATTCAACAAGCCATAGAAGAGGACAGGGAAGTTCAGTGTCTTTTCCATAAATATAAAGAATCAGATGGAGTGTCAAAGAATTTTTGGACTGTGTTGTTGCGTCATGGTGGTTGGCTTGCGATCGAGGTAACCAAATGAAGTAATTTTATTCGCTGAAATTACATTTTTCACATATATGTTTACTAAACCACATTTAAATTATTCAGCATCTTGATGAGTTTCTAGTGCATCTGAGAAAACGTCTTATTGAGAAAGAGATCTCCCATGCTGTTGTACCTACAGCTTATTTTGGTAAAATGGCTCAGCGCAATGGAAATGAAGAAATTTACCCGACACTAGAAAAAAGTATAGAGAAAACTATTCTAGGGACAACCACATCAATACACATGATTCCCTGGGAAAATGTTAAATATGCTTATTTCCCTCACAATCTTGGAGGGAATCATTGGGTTTGTGTAAAAGCAGACTTTGAGGTGGGAGAGCTTGTAACATTTGACTCTCTCAGGGGATTGATGAGTGATGAAACTTTTGAAGCAGCTATGAAGCCATTAAGAATGGTATTCCCTGTAATAGCATCCTTTGCCAAGTTGGGTACACACACATATGAAAACAAGTCAATGTGGGAAGTAAAACGCCCTATTGTACCGCAACAGAAAGAGGATGACTGTGGAGTGTTTGCCTTAAAGTTTCTAGAGTTGGACCTTTTTGGGAAAGATTTCAAAGAACTCGAAAATATTAATCACCAGAAGACCAAAAAAATTAGACTTAGATTGGCATTTGATATATGTCAGGAATTTAAGGAGACATCAATGTGTAAACTGTCTATGTAATTTTTGTTATTTTATTTGTTTGGTAAATATTGAATGCAATCATTTATATGCTAAGTGTTTCCTTGTACATAATTAGGGTTTCCTTGTATATCTAAAATACATGCATTTCCTAATTCTTAATACTTCGTTCGTATATGGTATATATCTAGAATCTAGAATATATGGTATATATCCAGAATATATGGTATCGGTATATATCTAGAATATACCTTTGGACTATATATTCCTTGTATATCTAGTGTACTATATGTGTGTGTGTGTGTGTCTTGAGATGGCATCATTTATATGCTAAATGTTTATTGATAGTTCATTTGTTCGGCTACATAGATGAGTCAATCATTTAGATCGACCATATGTAGGTCGACTATGATTTGGTCGATATTTAACAAATGCATGTAAAACGTAAAAACATAAAAAGGTTGAGTGTGGGTGTTTTCTAAAACATAATTAGGGTGTTTCCTTGTACATAATTAGGGTTTCCTTGTATATCTAAAATACATTTCCTAATTCTTAATACTTCGTATACCATATATATATATATATATATATATATATATATATATATATATATATATATATATATATATATATATATATATATATATATATATATATATATATATATATATATATATATATATATATCTAGACTAGAAATTATGGTATATATCTAGAATATATGGTATCGGTATATATCTAGAATATACCTTTGGAATATATATTCCTTGTATATCTAGAGTACTATATATATGTGTGTGTTTGTGTGTGTCTTGAGATTTCATCATTTATATGCTAAATGTTTATTGATAGTTCATTTGTTCGGCTACATAGATGAGTTAATGATTTAGATCGACCATATGTAGGTCGACTATGATTTGGTCGATATTTAACAAATGCATGTAAAACGTAAAAACATAAAAAGGTTGAGTGTGAGTGTTTTCTAAAACATAATTAGGGTGTTTCCTTGTACATAATTAGGGTTTCCCTGTATATCTAAAATACATTTCCTAATTCTTAATACTTCGTATACCATATATATATATATATATATATATATATATATATAGAATATATGGTATATATCTAGAATATATATATGTATGGTATCGGTATATATCTAGAATATACCTTTGGACTATATATTCCTTGTATATCTAGTGTACAAACTTATCTAAAAACTATATTTTTCAATATTAATATTTTTTAAAATGTTAAATAATGGTTCCTTAAATATTATTAAATTGTGTTCGAACTGTGTTCTTAATTAACTAGAGAGGTTCTTTATTCTTTATATGTCTATTTTCTCAGATGGAGAGACCTAGATTTATTTTCACGTTTTTATGTTTTAACATTATGTCGATAAGAAACGACTGTGGGTGTTTGTTATTTAATTTAATTAACTTAAAGTTTGCTATTTTATGTTAATTAATTAAAGTTTTATAATTTAGTGTGTTAAAAAAAGTGGATGATTTGGAAAAGTTATTCGTATGAATTTAATTTTTATCAAATGAATTTAATTTTTATCGATTAAGTCAAAGGTAGCCTCCCCCTCAACCAACCACAGAAGTTAATTTTATTGGTGAGTTCAAAGGTCACCTCAACCACCTTCTTTAAAGCCCAACGGTCACTTATACCTCAACCACCTTAGTTAAAGCCCAATTTGCCCAAAATCACCTCTTCACTTATATATATATACGCACTCAGTGATGGCCTAGTTTAAGTTAATGTTTAGAGTAGCATGGAGTACAAATCAAATGTTCCTCCATTGAGTATAGCAAAAAATATTAGTCCATTACCAGTCCCATATTTCATAAATTAAATACAGGTATATTTCAAACTTTGTAAATTCAGGTTGAGGTTCTTGTGTGCAAAATTTACTACTTTTTAACATGATAAATACATGTAAATTGTGGTAAATTGTGGTCTATCTGTACATTTTAGATTTGTTTCCTTGAATCCTACAACCCATATGCTCCCTAGAAAAAAGTAATATGATGTTTGAAATATAGCCGACCACGAATTGGTCGGCTAGATTGATTGTGTGTTAGGTTCCATGTATCAATTCTCCGCCCCAGAACAATAATAAAGCAAGCTGATTACCATTATCTCAATGGTGATCAACTGGCTTTATAATTCTTCTATTGGGACGGGAAATGATCCATGGCCTTATCTACACTCAATCTGGTCGAGCAACTCATTGTCCACTAATCTATGCTCAATCTAAGGAACACATGGTTTGTAGGATTTGTATTGGATTATACAAATTTATTATAATGTTCCAAATACATGTGCTAATGGGACTCATGCATTTTTAAGCCTACAAGAAGAACATATGGGATTTGTAATGGACTATCCGCCGCCTTTGGTTCGTCCCCTTGGAAATATGTCTGCTAATGACGTACGGAAAACCTGTTTAACAAACATACTTCGTACGGAAAACATTTGCTTAAGCCATCTACATCTTTTAAACCAACATTACGTTACTCAGCTTTCAATTATTGTTTCAAAATTTCATCTACATTCGCTAAAATCTACCAACATATATATACAACAACATAATTTGGTTTATGATCGACCAAATTTACAGTCTGGAAGAGTCTTGAGCCACGTCTTGGCAAACTTCACTTGGTTGTGCAAAACGTGTTTGGAGTTCAAATAAAGTATATGTTTGAGTTATTTGTTAAATTGTCTCGTAATCTAGTTATTGTTTTCGGAAATTGTATGAAAGTGAATTTTTTATTTAATCATTAATTTTCTGAATTTTTATGCATCAAAAGGTGCTTAGTCAAATCTTCCCTAAAACACCAGACACATACTTTTATGATTATACATAGATGAAGTATATGATGCAGTCGTTTCTTCTATAACTCAGCTGAATGAGAATAATCCGGACCTGTGGGTCTGTTGTGCCTGCGTTTTGGAACTATAAAGAAGGTAGGAAAGCTACATTAGTGAAACGAAATGAAAACCATTGAATGTTTCTTTTCTCCCTTCTATAGTTCCAAAACTCAGGCACAACAGACCGGTCCTGATTATTCTCATTCAGCTCAGTTATAGAAGAAACGACTGCATCATATACTTCATCTATGTATAATCATAAAAGTATGTATCTGGTGTTTTAGGGAAGATTTGACTAAGCACCTTTTGATGCATAAAAATTCAGAAAATTAATGATTAAATAAAAAATTCACTTTCATACAATTTCCGAAAACAATAACTAGATTACGAGACAATTTAACAAATAACCCAAACATATACTTTATTTGAACTCCAAACACGTTTTGCACAACCAAGTGAAGTTTGCCAAGACGTGGCTCAAGACTCTTCCAGACTGTAAATTTGGTCGATCATAAACCAAATTATGTTGTTGTATATATATGTTGGTAGATTTTAGCGAATGTAGATGAAATTTTGAAACAATAATTGAAAGCTGAGTAAAGTAATGTTCGTTTAAAAGATGTAGATGGCTTGAAAAGGTTTTCAGTACGAAGTATGTTTGTTATATGTATTAATGAATTTAGTATGTTTTATTTTACAA